CCTTAGCAGTCTTGCACTGGCCGAAGTGCTCGCGCTCATCTAGTGGCAGGGAGTTGCGAATAGCAAAGCGAGCGTGCGCGTCACGGGTCTGCCACTGTGAGCGCTCAGCTGGGGGGGCAGTAGTGAGTGGGGCGGTCGCATGGCCGAGAGCGTGGTCGTACAGAGTAATATCTTCCTTGGCAGTGAGCTGTAGGAAAAGGTGCAGGTCATCTAGCCAGGTTTCGAATTTGACCGGACGGCCCTCGGCGTCGAAAGCTAGAACAGGAGGACTAGCCATAGCGACAGCGGCAGTAGTAGAAGCAGTAAAGTCACTGAAAAGGCGTGCGCAGGGTCAGCGGGGCCGGTGGGGCCTACGGACTGTAGTGGCGCACAAGCAGCAGTAGCAGGAAGTGTAGTAGCAGGATCTGCAGTGGTGCACAGGCGCAGCAGGCGGCAGCGAGAGCCGGCGCAGCAGGGGCGGGCTCAGCAGCGGTGATACGCGGGCAGCGGCGGGCGCAGCAGCGGCGGTGCGCGGGCGGCGGCGGGCTCAGCAGCGGCGGTGCGCGGGCGGCTGCGGGCTCAGCAGCGGCGGGCCGGTAGCAGGCAGTGCGCGGGCCGCGCGGGCCGTATGTGAGCTGTGCGGGCAGCGTGCGGGCCGGCGGCGGTCAGCGCACGAGCCGCGCAGGCTCAGCGCGGGCTGCGCGGGCTGCTCGCGGGCTGCGTAAGCGGGTCGCGGGCGGCTCGCGGGGGTTCGCGGGCAGGTCGCGGGCTGCTCGCGGGCAGTTCGCGGGCTGTGTGCGGGCTGCGCGGGCTGGTCGCGGGCTGCGCAGGCGGTTCGCGGGCTGTGCGTGGGCGGTTCGCGGGCTGTGAGCGCGGCGCGCTGTGCGGTTCGCGGGCGGCGTGACGGGGCCGATCGGGGCGCTAAGGGGCGACGCGACGGGGGCCGTGAGAGGCCGCTAGGAAAAAAAAAGTTCGACGGGGCCGCAGGGCCGCTAGATCGTGCTAGATCGACGGGGCCAGCGGGGCCGGAAACAAGTGAAGGTAAGCAGGTAGGTAAGTCGGTGGGCCCTAAGAACAGTCCTAGCGAAGGACCTGCTCTGAAACCATGTCAGAAATAACTGAGCAGGAATGAAATGAACTAGCACATAGTTTGGTACAAGTAGGAAACCCTAACTTTCAGTACCCCCTAAGGTGTAACCCACTACAGCCTACATAATATAAGCATGCAATGTTTGACATGATTGTGCAGGTCCCGATTGCTGGTGCTGCTCGTAGAAGGACATGAAGGAGAAGAACTTCTCCATCATGCTTGGGTCGAAGTTCGCGGGGTGATTTGCGGGAGTCTCAGTAGATGTCACCCTTGGTCTTGTTGACGTGCCTTCCTCTGTCTGTAGGCCAGAGGCAGGAGGTGGAGTAGGGGTAGTGCCCGGGGAGCCGTTAGAGGAGCTCCTTTCCTTGCTTGTTGCCATGTCTTGTAATGACTTGAAGGTAGTGGAGTTTCCCTTGCTTGCTCTGATACCATGTTGGGCTGAGATAGCCCCTTAGGATCTTTTCAAGGGAGAACTCTGGGTAGGATAGTGTTGTAATAGCGGAAGCTTTTAATGAAGAATTATGAACCACCTTGCGCTGGTATGTGAGGGCAAAGTAGATTGATTATAGCAAGGAAGTACAAGATTATATAATAATACAAGGAATATGAAAGGATGCAGTTTGTAACTACTTTACTGTTGCTGTTGCGGTTCGATACAGTACGACTCGGGCAACTGCTCTGTAACGAGTCAGTTGTGTGTCCTTAACTGTCGCGCTGTATTTGTCAGGTCAAAGGTCGCTTGACCTTTGACTTTCGCGTAACCTCCAGCAACCTCTCAACCTCCGAGGGTTGACTCGCGTTTGTTTCGGTACTGCTTGCTTCGCTTCTGGTGCGATGTTTCGACACGACTGAAGCGCTTAAGATTCACTGTTTCCAACAGATACAACCTTTAAAGCTTTCAATATATTTCGAGTTTATGATTTTTTTTCCAGTTAAGCAGAATTTTTTCTTGTGTTACAATCGTAAATTGTTACAGTTCCACATGGTCTTTGGTAGGATCGTCTCAAGGTTGATTGTATAATAATATTGTTGCCGGATCAATTGACGCATAAGCATAGTTGTTGGAGTGAGAAGGGAATTGACTCAAGCATTCCCGTAGGTGCAGCTCTATCGCACCCGTCACTATCGAAGCAGCGCTAGCAGCAGTATTGGATCAGCCCGTACAAGAGCAGGAAGGTCAGCATGTCTAACTATATATGAATTATAATGTGTAGGCTGTAGTGGGGTAGCCAATGTAGGGTACAACCCCTTAGGAAACTCATCCTTGTACCCAACTCTCTCGATACTCAAACCATTCCTTCCTTACTCCTCTAACATACTATAGAGCCGGAGGTTCTTAGGACCTTAGGAGCTTTTTTTTCGGGCCCACCCTATGGTTACCACGTTACCCCGAGCCCTGCCTACCCTGCCCTGAGTCGCGCAGCCCCGCGCACGCCCTGCTTTTCCCTGCGCCGCGCCGCTAGCAGCTCGCGCGACCCGCGCGTCGCCTCTGCTGGCCCGCGCGCAGCCCGCTAGCAGCCTGCGCGACCCACCAGCATGCGCAGCCCGCACGCGGCTCCTGCCAGCACGCACGCCGCCCGCTAGCGGCCTGTGCGCCTGCTGCCGCGGCTGCCTGCTGCGCCGCCCGCCCTGCTTCTGCAGCCGCCCGCTACGCCCTGCGCGCGGCCTGCCCTGCAACCCTGCCGGCCGTTTGTAGCCCCGTGCGCCGCCTGCATCTGTCGCGGCTGCCTGCTACGCTCTAGCGCGCCGCCCCTGCTTCTTGCCTGCCATTGCTCTGCCCTGCTAGTCTCGCGCCAGCAGCTATGGCCACCCTCCGCGTTCTCCCGTTCGATACTGAGGGCCGCCCGATTCAGTTTGAAACCTAGATAGATGACCTGCAGCAAGGTCAATGTTTCACTTTTCGACCACACGTCTGGTGCCTCAGTCGCTCCTGCTGCCACAGCTGAGCTTAGCGTCCGTTCCCAGTGGCAGACTCGTGACGCCGCTGCTCGCCTAGCTGTTCACAACCATCTGCTGTTAGCCGAGCTCGGCCCTTACCTAAAAGCCGAATTAATACAGGAATGGAAGTCCCGACTAATGTCACAGAACTTCAGAGTTTTCTGGGGTTCGTGAATTACGTCAGGCGGTTTATTCCAAATATGGCGAGGATAACCGGCCCGCTGACTGACCTGCTACACAAAGACAGGAATTTCGTGTGGGGGGAGGAGGCAGAGGCGGCTTTCCAGGAGCTCAAGAATTTTCTGGTTTCCCCTCCTGTACTGCGCATCGCCGACCCATCGAAGCCGTTCGTAAGTAAAAACTGACCCCTCAGATTTCGCCATTGGAGCTGTTCTACTCCAGGACTTCGGGAACGGGCTGCAGCCGATAGCCTACGAGTCACGCAAGCTGCAGGCAGCCGAGCGCAACTACTCGATCCACGACAAAGAAATGCTCGCCATTATGCGTGCGTTTAAATTGTGGCCATGCAACCTGGTGGGCGCCGGCGTCACTGTTTGGACGAACCATACGTCCCTACAGTACCTGCGAGCTCAGCCCAACCTCAACCCACGTCAGATTGGAAGGCTAGACTAAATGGAAAGCCACTTCACCTACCGCATCACGTACAAGAAAGGGGCGAGTAATATCGCCGACGCCCTGACCCGACCGACAGTACAATCTGTTAGAATCTAGCAGCAGGAATGGATGAACTAGCAGCATGATGGGTACAAGTAGGAAACCCTAATTTGGGTTGTACCCCATATGGGCTACCCCACTACAGCCTACACAATAAGCAGCATATATGTTTGACACACCCCCATAGGCAAAGTGGGGGAGAACAAGGGGTCACACGACCAGTCAAGAGAAGCAAAGCAAGCTCAGGGTGGATCACAACGTCACCACACACTCTGAGCACAAGCAAAGGGCCACAAGGCCAGTTCACATGCAGAGGTGTATATATATATATGCAACAACAGCAGAGTAGTGATCACTACCTAGCAAGAGCAAGCATGCAGATATATATATATATATATATATATATACATAGATCACAGTACAAGCAAAGTCTACAGCAAGTGTGGAAACGTAGGCACAAGGCCTAACATGGTACAAAAGCACTGATGATCACCAGAAGGAAGTACCTTAGTGAATATATCAGCAGTGTTGGCCCGAGTGGCCACGTGACGAAGACGAAGCTGACCTCGCTACTGCAACTCTCGAGCCAGGAAGTAACGCAGAGCAATGTGCTTCATTCTGTGCTCCAGTATGTGCTCCTCACACAAGGCAATGGCCGCCTTGTTGTCAACGTACAGAACTGGAGGAGAACGAGGCCGCTCTCCTAAGTCAGTCAGCAGGTAGGTGAGCCAGCGTAGCTCCTGTGCAGCCATGGCGGTGGCGTAGATCTCAGCCTCACAACTGGAGCTGAGAACTGAAGACGAGCGTGTAGACCGCCAAGAAACAGAGCCAGAGCCAAGGCTGAAGGTGTAACCCTGTGACGACCGCTGTGTAGTCTGGTCGCGTCTGAGTGCCCAGTGAGGACCACCTCACTTCGTCCTCCAAGCACGAGCCCCATGCCTGATGTACTGCACAGGTAGCGCAACACCCTCTTGGCAGCATCCATGTGCACCTTTTGGTGACTGCCATGAGCCATGTAACGAGCCAAAAGGCCAAGAGGGTACGCAAGGTCAGGTCGAGTGCAGGTCATGAGGCAGCCCACTAGCTCGGCGTAAGGACCACTCGGCTCTACGGACTCGTCCGAAGGTGGAGCTGAGAGCGAGTGACCTGTAACCAGCAGAGTGGACTGTGGGGAGGACCAGGTGAAGCCGAAGCGCTAAAGGACCTGCTGCACCATGTGTGACTGAGTCAGTGTGATGGTGCGGCGTGCTCTGTCCCGAGTGATCTGCAAGCCAAGGTAGCTGCGCAGCTCACCCAGGTCAGTGCACGTGTGTCTCTTCTACAGCTCCGACTTCACCTGAGCGAGAGCCTCAGTGTCAGCAGTGGCAAAGACCAAGTCGTCGACGTACACGAGGATGTAGAACGGCGGCAGCGAAGTGTCGGTGCGCAGAAACAGCGACGGGTCAGCAGTCGAAGGAGCGAACCCAAGAGCCGCAAGTGTAGTCCTCAGTGTGTCGTGCCACTCACGAGGCGCCTGGCGGAGACCGTAGACTGGCCGTCGGAGGCTCCACTGGGTACCAGGAGGGAACGACCCAGTGAAGCCAGGTGGGCGGCGCAGCCAGATCTCCTCGTGCAGGCTGCCCTGTAAGAAGGCTGTGCTGAAGTCAAGAGAGTGAAGCTCGTAGTCACGCTGAGCGGCAACGTGCAGCAGCACCCGAAGAGTGGTCATCTTCGGGGTGGGGGAGAAGGTCTGGAAGAAGTCAACTCCCTCACGCTAACTGAAGCCTCTGGAAACATAACGAGCCTTGAAGACAGGCGGAGAACCCGACGGCCGCTTCATCCTGAAAATCCACATGCCATCGACGATGTTCACCCCAGGAGGGGGAACCTCATCGATGTAAGTGCCTGTGGACTTCCAGGATGCCATCTCTGTGTCCATGGCTGTCTGCCACTGAGAGGAGTACTCACCCGCGATCGCCTCAGCGTAAGAGCGCGGGGTTGGGATGTCTGGTGCATCCGGGTCTCCCTCAGGGGCAAGCAGCATGGCCACAAGATGAGGCGCAGCAGCCGCAAGACACTCAAGGTCCTCGTGCCTGTCCTCAAGGACGTCCGTGCTAAGAGCACACTCACCCCCGACGGTCGGAGGACAGACAGACTCAGACTCAACAATAAGACTGGAAGCGTAGTCTAGATGACAGGCAGCAGCAAAGTCAACAAGCTCAGCAACCAAGGCAGACGCAGCAGCAGACTCAAACGATGGGTCAGTGACAACAGTGGCTACCAGACACGTGACGGTAGGGTGTGCAGCATGAAACCGGTCACACGCACGGTCCAGAAAGTCAGGCAGAGAGGACGCAGGGGGGGACGGCAGAGGAACAGGCTGCGGAGAAGAGGAAGGACGACGGACTACGAGGTGCGTGCCGGGGACAGCCGGCGGACGCGGACGAGGAACACGACGACCAGAACGAACAGGCGAGACAGGACACGACGCAGGCTCACGACGCGCAGCAAGACTCCCTGTCTGCTCAATGTAAGGAGACGGAGCAGGCAGTAGTGAGCCAGGCAGTAACGGAAGACCTGTAGAAGACGGGCGGCTAAGAACCTGGCGAAGCACTAAGTCAGGCGGTGGCTGAGACGACGGAGACGGCGGAGCGAAGAACAGTCGTGTCGGTGTAGTGCCACCAGCACCAGCAGCTCCAGCACCTCCAGCAGCTCCAGTACCTCCAGCAGCTCCAGTACCCCCAGCAGCGCCAGAACCTCCAGCGCCAGCTCCACCAGCAGCAGCACCCCCAGAACCGGCACCTCCAGTCCCAGGGTCTCCAGCCTCAGTGTTTCCAGTAGCAACACCCCCAGACGCAGCACCTCCAGCAAACAAAGTACCAGCACCACTCCGATCTCCAGTAACATCAGCAGAAGTACCTCCACGAGCACCCTGACGGCGACCGTACCAGTCGTGCAGCTGCTGTGCGGTGAGAGGTGTCCGCGGACGAAGGCGGCCACTCCAAGGAGACTGCGCAACAGCAAGCGCAGTACCCTCAGGCGCCGCACCCTCAGACTCAGCACCCCCAGGCTCCTCACGCACAGGCTCAGTACCCCCAGGCACAACAACCCCAGTCTCAGCACGTCCAGACTCAGCACCCCCAGGCTCCTCACGCACAGGCTCACTACCCCAAGGCACAGCACCCCCAGTCTCCTCAAGCACAGGATCAGCACCTCCAGCAGGCAAAGAACCAGCACCACTCCCAGCTCCAGTGACGTCAGCAGAAGTACCTCCAGCGGCAGAGCCCCGAGCTCCAGAGGCGCGACCCTGACGGCGACCGTAGTAGTCCTGCAGCTGCTGTGAGGTGAGAGGCACACGTGGACGAAGGCGGCTACTCCAAGGAGACCGCACACCAGCATACTCAGAACCCTCAGCGCCAGCACCCCCAACAGCTCCAGAACCTCCTGTGCCAGCGCCACCAGTGTCAGCACCTCCAACAGCTCCAGAACCTCCAACTCTAGCGCCACCAGCAGCAGCACCCCCAGAACCGACACCTCCAGCTCCAGGGCCTCCAGTAGAAACAACTCCTGTAGCAAAGTCACCAGCTCCAACGCCTCCCGCAGCAGGGCCCCTAGCCCTAGTAGCTCGACCCTGACGGCTAACAAACCACTCACGCAGCTGCTGTGGGGAGAGAGGGAGTAGACGACGAGAGTGCAGCGGCGAGGCACCAGCGGAGCGACTACGGAGACGGCCGCTCCAGGGAGACTGCTCACCAGACGCCTCAGCGCCCCCAGGTGCAGCACCCCCAGACTCAGTACCCCCAGACTCAGTACCCCCAGGCTCCTCACGTCCAGGCTCCGCACCCCCAGGCTCCGCACCCCCAGGCTCCACACCCCCAGGCTCAGCACCCCCAGGCTCAGCACCCCCAGAAGCAGCACCCCGAGCAGGACCACTCGCAGTAGGACCTGAGTCACCAGTGACCTCAACCGGCGCAGTCAAGGGAGGAGGGTCTACCTAAGACACACCTGAAGGAGCAGGACCGGGAGCGGGGAGGGGGTCTACCTGGGGAGCACCTGGAGCGAGGAAGAGCAGCGGGGGGGGGGGGGGAGCGGGGCAGTGCGGTAGGGGAAGAGACAGTAAAAGGGAACCGACTCGTCGAACGTGACGTCCTGAGAGGGGAAGACACGGCGCGAGGTGGGGTGGTAAAACTGCCAACCAGGCACGTCAGGGACAAAGCCAAGGAAGACACAGGGAACAGCGCGGGCGGAGAGCTTGTCCGCGGTGGTATTGCGGACAAAGGCACGGGCACCCCAGACCCGGAAACGCGACGCATCACCAACCTTCCCCGTCCACAGCAGTGTGGGCAAGGTCTCCGGCAAGGAGACACGGGGCCAGAGGTTGAGCTGATGCGCGGCGTACCGGACTGCAAACGGCCACAGAAAATGGGGGGCAGCCGCATGGATCATGGAGGTACGAGCGACCTCCATGACTAAGCCAATGCGGCGCTCAGCAACCCCATTCTGCTGCGGAGAGGCCGGAAGCGTGAACGTCTGGCGGATGCCGTGCTCCGCACAGAAGGCTGCCAAGAGGTCAGAGGAGAACTCACCACCTCTGTCAGAGTGTAGACGCAGGACGGGAAACTCCGTCTCGAACCGCTCGCGGAGCTGGAGACGAGCAGCGCGGATCCAAGGGATCAGAACATCAGGGACCTCCCTTTTGCGCTGCAAGGGAAAGACCGTGGTGTAACGCGTGTAGTCGTCGACGACCAGCAGGAAGTACCGCTCGTGGCCCTGTCCACGGACGCGGGCTGGGCCCCACACTCCAGATGGAGTGTCTGCAGTGGAGCCTCTGTGGGAGGGAACGATGAGGAGTGAGGAGCGGCGCGCTGCCGCCCCTCGACACAGGGAAGACAGGGAGGAGCAGGCGAGGGTGGGAGGGGAGGGAGAACCCTGGGAAGACCAGAGACAAGGACACGACGGTGCATGCCACGAAGGCGCTGCACGGAGGGGTGACCAAGGCGGTGGTGCCAAAGGAGGGTCTGGTGCGACAAAGCGCGACACGAGCAGGGGGCCGCTAGCTGACCTAACACAGACGCAGACACAGCTACCTAAGGGGACTTAGTGGTCAGGGTGTACAGACTCGAGCCAGGCGCACGGGTAAACGTGGCCAGGTGTCGGCCCGTCCGAGCACACGTGCAGTGAGTCACTCGCTGACTCGCAGGAGTGAACTGGTCAACCCCCTGATCCTGGAGGTCAGCTCCACTCACCAAGTTCGTAGAGAACGAGGGGAGGTAAAGACCTGACAGCGAAATATTAGGCCTTAAGCGACTTCGCGTCAAATAGGAGGTTATGACTGTTCGAGATCTAAGAACAACAAAAAGTGAAAATTATGCATACGACGAAAGGCAGAAATGATTAAGAACAAAAGAAATAGATGCTAGATATGCAGTAAGAGACGAAGATTAGGACCTAAGAAAGGCAAGGAAAAAATGTGAAGTCTTTACAAACGGCCTCTACCCTTAACTTAAACAATCCGCATCCCTTCTAAACATTTAAGAGACGAGACTAGGAGATGTTAGTCTAGGTTTTAATATTCTAACTTAGATTGGTTCTACTAGAAAGCTTGAAGATTTTCTCACCTTAGATTGGTAGGTGGAGCGTGACTAGCGGGAGGATGTCTAAGAAACCTAGCCCAGCAAGAGGAGAGAGAAAGAAACCGTCGAAACCAAATTTGATTGAACAAAGTAAAAATGCTACCAGCAGCATAGCAGCGTAGTAGCGTAGTTGTTTGCAGCCTGATCTGGAACAGAAAGGTTGCGTGCTATAATCCTGTAAGTGGCTTTTGCAAACCTCTACCAGAAACACTAAAATCGTACTCGGTACTAGAAGTTGCACAAACCTTTTTAGATATAGTAACTCAAACATTTACATTAATAGTTGCACAAAATGCATTTCTTCTGCGAAACGATTTCGTCGCCTCTTGTTCACATTTTCATACATTACTTATTTATTTAAAATAAAAAATATGAAAATAAAGAAACAAACTCGATGCACTAATTTCAGCTACGTACAATGTGAAGGTCCTGTCTAGTTCCATAAGATCTATGTGACGTTGATTTTTTTGGACGACTATGTTGTTTTTGTGATTTACTATTCTGTGATTTATTGATGTATATGCACATAATATTATGAGATGAATATAATGATGGGTAAATGCAGATGAATAGAATAATATTATATGGAAAATAAAATATTGTGTAAGATATGATAATATATGACAAATGCATGCCTTACCAGTATGTTCGATATGAATAATGTTTCCAAAATAATGCTTATCATCCATGATGCATATTTATTATGATGGAGATGCGTGAAAGCTAATCACCCAAAAACTATGCTACCGCATCCCCTGCCTAGCATGGGGGGGCTAATAGCATAATTTGTTAGAATAGTAGGACAAGAATGATGGATTAGGTCAAGGTTGGGGTACAAGACTAGAGTGTCGAGAAAATATGTGTACCCCCTAAGGCTATCCCCAATGTCAAACATATGCTGCATATTGTCTAGGCTGTAGTGGGGTAGCCCATATGGGGTACAACCCAAATTAGGGTTTACTACTTGTACTCCTGCATGCTGCTAGTTCAACCATTCCTGCTGCTAGATTCTAACATGGTTTCAGAGCACTAAGGTCCGTAGGACCGTTTTTTTTTTTTTTTTTTTTTTTTGGGGCCCACCTGCCGCTGCAGTTACCGCGCTACCCCACGTACCTGCCTGCCTTGCCTTGCCTTGTGACGTGCTGCACTACGCGCGCCGTCCAGCAGCATTAGCGCTGCCTCCTGCTGCCCTAGGCCAGCGCGCTGCCCCTAGAGGCCCGTAAGGCCCGCGCGCCGCCCCTACACGCCCTTCAGGCCCGCGAACAGCCCCTGCAGACCGTTAGGCCCCTTGCTGCCGCGCGCTGCCCGCACCGAGCCGCGCGCAGCCCGCTGCAGCCGCGCGCAGCCCGCACCGAGCCCACGCAGCCCGCGCCGAGCCGCGCGCAGCCCGCACCGAGCCGCGCGCAGCCCGCTGCAGCCGCGCGCAGCCCGCACCGAGCCGCGCGCAGCCCGCTGCTGCCGCGCGCAGCCCGCGCCGAGCCCACGCAGCCCGCGTCGAGCCGCGCGCGGCCTGCTACGGCCTCGCGAGGCCCGCGCGCGGCCCGCAGCAGCCCGCGCCGAGCCGCGCGCGGCCTGCTACTGCCTCGCGCGGCCCGCAGCAGCCCGCGCCGAGCCGCGCGCGGCCCGCTACTGGCGCAGCCTCGCGCGGCCTGCAGCAGCTCAGCGTGCTGTCAGCGCAGCCCGCGCCGAGCCGCGCGCGGCCCTCTGCCTCGGCCCCGACCTGCCGCTGATGCGGCCCCGCCCTGCAGCTGCCACGGCCCCGACCTGCCGCTGATGCGGCCCTGCCCTGCAGCTGCCACGGCCCCGACCTGCCGCTGACGCGGCCCCACCCTGCAACTGCCGCTGAAGCGGCCCCGCCCTGCAGCTGCTTCGGCCCTGCTCTGCAGCCGGTGTTGCGGCCCCGACGCCGCCGCTGTCGTGCGCCTACTCGGCCGCCGCCCGTTGAGCGCCGGCCCTGCTCGCCCGGTGAGCGCCTGCTCTCCCAGCCTTTGGTGAGCGCCTGCCTGCCTGCCTGCCGGCCTGCCTGTCTGCCTGCCTGCCTGCCTGCCTGCCTGCGTGCCTGCCTGCCGGCCTGCCTGCCTGCTTGCCTGCCTGCCTGCCTGCCTGCCTGCATGCCTGCCTGCCTGCCTGCCTGCCTGCCTGCCTGCCTGTCTGTCTGCCTGCCTGCCTGCCTGCCTGCCTGTCTGCCTGCCGGCCTGCCTGCCTGTCGGCCTGCCTGCCTGCCTGCTTGCCTGCCTGCCTGCCGCGCCTGCCCTGCCCGCGCTACTGCTGCTGCTACTGCTACTGGCAGGTGGCCAGATTTAGCTCCAGCGACGTTCACGCGAGCCTCTCACGCCCCAGCAGCTTAGTGAGTGGTATACTAGCTGGGGTTGTCGCGGTAGCCGTCGTAGCTGTCGCCCTGGAGCTGGTCAGTTGGGAGCGTCTGGCAGTGGCCAGCTGCAGCTGCAGCGGCGTCCACGCGAGACACTTACGTCCCAGCAGCTCCATGAGTGGTACGCTCAGTGTAGCAGGTCTACGCGTACAGTTCGCTGCCCGTACGTCATTCGCACAGGTGATCGGGTTGGTCAGCCTTGCGGGACGCTTGGTCACACACAGTTTCGCTGCTTTGCCCGTCTGAGCGACGCCTGGCGTACCGAGTTTGGTGACGAGGCTGAGCTACCCACCTGGGTGGAGCTGCTTGACCAGAGGGTAGATATCTTTGCTCTTGACTATGATGCTATTCTCACTGCCATGTATGCATTGCCTACTAGTGCTGACCGTGCCTGT